AAAAAAAACCAACTACAAGACGAAATGCCGAAACCCCCCAAAAGCCAGAGGTCTCAGCCACTGTACAAAACTCGGGGAGCGATTCGGCCGTTGGGTCGCTAGCACCCCCCTTACCCCAGAGACGGCGGGGCGGCTGCTGTGCCCAGCAGATGGCTCGCTCCAACCACATAACGCTCGGGCAAAGCCTCCCTTCCCTCCCTGCATCCCAGGGTCAGCATTTTCCCATCTTTTGTTCCTCTTAATAAATGCCAGGGGCGTCCTGGAAGATCAGGGAAACGTAATGCGATGCAGAAATGCGCTTGCTTTCCAGAGCGTAATAGCTTTAGCTGGGATGTAACACACTTTTGTTTAACGAATACTTGTCACAGTACTACACACATAAACAGAGTTGTATTTATTGGACTAGAATCACATCTCAGTTCTGCTTGAGTAAATCTGAAACAGCTCAGCTGTAGCCAGTGGAGATACTACAGATGGGAATGACAGGGGAATTTGGCCCACTGCTGCAATATCTTCATGTAGAAACAATGTAGGAAAATTGAGCTATGGCCAGGTTCCTTCATTATGGGCTAAAATGCCTCTAAATTGAACCCTCTGAAGTTGGTGAAGCTACACAGGTGTGAGAGCACACAGAAGCCAGCCTTGTTTGAACTACTTGATCCAAAAGGAACCATTCTGCATTTTATTAATAAATGCAAGTTCATTTACAATTATTATATATATATATATATAAATTAGAGATGGGCTTAGACCTCTATGAGACCCACTTCAAAGCTCTTTGACTTATTAGAAAGTTCGGACTGAATCAGATTTTTGGGGTTCAATCACCATCTCTTTAATAGGCTTAAGCTGGAATTACAAACCAAAACATGGAGGAACACTTAGCTCTATAACATGTCCTGTTTTATAACCTTTCTGAATCTCAGACATTTAGATCTTATTATAGAACTACTTGACAATTCTGACTGAAAATTACTGATTTTAGAAAAGCAGTATTTATTAGTGCAAAGCCTTCAAAATGTGGAGGTCTTTTACTTGAATTGGAAAAACTTTCCAAAATGCACAGGTTAATTCTGACTCATTGAACTTTAAGCCTGCAAGACTGGAGCTTGACATGATTTCCTAACAGGCCGCCTTTAAATTTACTGCCATTTCTGCTGATAGTTCAGGTCAGCATATAGAAGGATGAGCAAAATGTAAAAGAAAAGGTATCCAAAAACATGTTTAAAAAAATTTCTTAAGGCATATATATTGGGACAATGGGAAGAAATACCATTTGCTAATTGTTTCCCTCTAGCCCATTCATTTTGGGCTTATTCTTCTCTGACATCCAACTTAATCACAGCTGAGGTGCTCCTCACCTTCTAGCTCTACTAAACCTTTCCTGCTTCTGAAAGTTACACCACTTCTTTACTTTCCCAGGATATACCAGTTGGCACTAAGAGGGAAATACGAAAGCCCAGGGTAACACTGAAGCTGAGTTGATATGTTCTCCGTTCAACTGGCTATTGAAAATGGATCAATTTTTTTTTTTTTTTTTTTTTCTCATCTTAACCATTTCACACTTTCCTTTGAAATGTAGGAGGCTTATGAATTGCAAGAACTACACTGTAAGTGTGAGTTATTTGCACTTTTACCCCTTCCGGGATGAAGTTGTCACCTGCATCAATAAACCTCCAGAGCTATTTTTGGTATGCTCCGCTGGGCTCGGTGCCTCCTGGGGATTCCTCTGAACCTCGCTGTGCTGCCTTCCACAGGCTCCATGGCAGGTCCAGGCAAAATGTGCTTAACAGTGCTGCCTGAGAATTACATTATGCTCTGGGAACAGTGACCCAGTGTAACTCATTTCATATTCTGAAACTGTTTTTCTTGATACTGCTGTGGTTTATTCAGATATTTAACGTTTTCTGATCCACAATCTTGCTACTAATTGATGCTCGGCAAGGACATAAATACTGTCATGAGAAGAACTAAGCTGGTGATGGTTTAGCTTGGCTCCTTCTTCCCTCGTTGATAACAACCATGGTTCTAGCACCCTTCCATTTCCAGAAAGCTGAATAACAAAAGTTGCTGCCCTTCTCAGAAAGCCTGACAAGGAAAGGGATTTGATGGAGCTGTCAGAAATGGGGAGACTAAAGCCAGGCTCACGGGTTGATATTTAGACACATGAACAAGTGGCCCGATGTTAAAAAAAAAAAAAAAAAAAAAAGCCATTTCTGCTGCATGGTTGAAACTTTGGTCCTAATCATTTAGTTGGTGGAAAGCACATGCCGAGGTTTCAGGCAACAGAATTGCGCTCGGATCATTTCCTACCTGCTTTGCTGAGCAGCAATTAGCAGCAGAGTGGCATTAACAAGACGGCTTTACACAAGTGTTCAAAGTAGAAACATAAAGCATCCCTAAAAGACCAACTACTTGTAAAATGTGAGAAGGAAGCTCTAGGCCTGATTTTTCAGAGGTAGGCACAAGGCTCTGCCCACGGGCAGTGTGACCTGCCACCCGCCGCAATCCCCGCGCCTGCCTGGCTCCCTCGAGGAGGGGAAACCTCTTGTCTTCTGCACTCGACTTTTGTGTTGCCTTTCCTGCACAGGGATGGATGCTGCACGACTCCGAGTGCCCTCTCATCCACATTTGCCGTAAACACCCAGAGCACCTGTTTACTCTGACTCACCCCCTCCTCACGCAGACTCTCCCTTTTTTTTGACAGCAGACCTCACTCAGGTAGTATGTGCTGCTAATATCCTTTCAGGACCATGTAATAACATGCCTTCTATCCAATTCCTAACATCCTTCAATCAGCTCAGCCAGTGGGCTAACTGCTTACGCTCCTGTGATTTATATAAGTGCAATTAATTTAAACTGCATCACTCCGGTGTTATGCTGGTGAAAATGCCCCGAGAGGGAGTACCTCACTGGTGAATCAGACCCTTTACTTTTAACAAACATACAAAAGAACAGATCCCGAGCCAGTGGAAATCTGCATGGCTCCATTCATTTCAACACACCGACTTACACCAGCTCAAGGTCTGAATCACAGCTCCTGTAACAGACTATTTAGATACAGACTAATGCCTCACATCCTGAAATGCAATGCTTTCCCAGAGTTGGCAGGGGACAGGGACTTCTCAGACGGAACAGGGCTGAGAGGGGAGCAGGACCACAAGTGCAACCTTTTAAAAGCGCTTTGTGAATTTCTTCATTTCTGTGGAGATGAGGAAAGAGGCAGCTTGTGTCTCTGCGAGCGCTGCTCTCCCTTCTGGGAAGAGCTGCTCCTGTCCCTCCACCCCAGCTGTGAAGCAGGTACCTGGGAAGTCCCTTTCCTTGCCACTTTCCCTTTCCTCCAGTAGCCTGGGTGTGTTCCCTGCAGCTTGGAAATCCATGTGACACCTTTCACTGACAGACACCAGAGTTCAGTGCTGAACAGCTGAATCTTTTTAACCAGTTCTTGAAAATGGCTAACTTTCTCTGCACTTGTTTTGGCATCCCCGAGATTAAGAAGTCATGCATCTTGACAAAGCACTTTACTCTTACATGTCTTAACAGAATCAGAGGGAGGGATTTTTTTTTTTTATTTTTTTTTTTTTTTTCTCCTTCATGTCTATTCCAACACCTGCTGCAAAAAAAAAGGGCTGGGGTGGTCTCTGTAAGACACCCCTCCACGCCTCCTCCCGACAGGACTGAGCCCTAGCAGAACACCGACACGGCATACCTGTATGTGCCCAGGCAGGTGGAGTTAATACACAAGGAGGGGGGGAAGGGGTGAGGAAGGCAGACCAAAAGTCAACCAGAGTGTAATTTGTGTTAGAAATTTGCCAGCGTTCAGCTGTCCATATTTTCAAAATGCAAATATTTTAAAATTAAAAAGCCTCTCTGTGACTAAACATCTCCTCTAAATCAATCTAGATAACCAGAAAATTCTGGGCACATTTAAGAGACTTTCATCCTAAATGAAATGCATCATACAGATTATACCTTCATAGGAAATCAAGAGGTCCTAAATATAATAATGGAGAAGGACGTTTAAGAGACATTTAAATTACCCAGTCTATAATTGGGGGGGGGGGGGGGGGGTGTGTTGTTAATCTTTGCATCTTCTAACTGCCTTGGATAATTAGGAAAATTTCCTTGGCAGTGCTCTAAGAGGATAGACAAAAGAGTGGCATAACTACTCCCAAGGAAGGAAAGGTTGAGGTTTTGCATTCTGCAGATTCTTAAAGTAAAAAATAAAGTATTCTTCATCTGAACAGTCTGAAGCAGTATGCATATTATATAAAACCTATCACCCTGCTCTGGAATGTCATCTTTTTCAGGGCTTCTCCTTCTCCTTGAACTCACTTGCAATATCTCACTGGCCCTTCTGCCTGCAGGTTAGGGAGGCAGGCTGCTTGGCTCCAGCCTTTCCTAAGCACAACTCTTCAAGGGCAGTTCCCAAACGGAGCAGGCACACAGTCAGTTCAAAGGCTTCCATTAGCTCTGCCGGCTAACTTGTTATCTTGTAATGTTCCCTCTGCTTCTGCCCTTAATGAACAGTTTGTTCCATTGTAATTCTTATATCAAACATCTGGAAACCAGACTCGTTTTTAAAAAGGAAAAAAAAAAAAAAAAAAAAAAAAGAAAAGGGGGGGGGAAGAAAAAGGTTTCAGTGCCTATGACTTATCCAGGTCTCTGTCAGAAAGAAAGAAAGAATTCAGCTGAATCAGTAAACTGACCCCTTTTTACAGCACTTTGACCAACACATTTTTCTAGACCCAAATTCTACCGAGCAACGTGCACCCACTTTGTAGCAGAGTAACGCGCTCTGCCCGCAGCCTGATCCTCCGTTCACAGCTGTCTCCAGCGGGAGGAGCTGAAACCTGAACCAAACCCTCGGAGCAGGGATTGGACCCCTCCCGCCAGCAGCCCGAGAGCCCTCCCAGAAAGAAAAAAAAAAAAAAAAAAAAAAAAAAAAAAAAAAAAAAAAAAGCGCAACCCCAACAGCCTGTTTGGAGAAGCGCTTGCGAACATCCCGAAGTGATTGGAGGAGCGGGAAACCCTTCCCCCCCTGCACCTGACTAGTGGGTATTTACAGCACTTTTCAAGGCGCTTCTGCACTGCCACTGCACAGCCACGGTGGGTGGATGGACTGCGTGGGGCCGGCGAGGCGAGAGGGACCGATGCGCTCGCAGTGACTGCGTGTGCGGCACACCGGCCGGGGACCGTTACGCCGACCCGCGAGGAGAGCCTGGAAGAAGGAGGAAGCCCTGCGTCCAAAATGCCACGCTCCTTCCTGGTCAAGAAACATTTCAATTCGTCCAAGAAGCCGAATTACAGCGAGCTGGACACTCACACAGGTAACGAAATGAAATCCAGCGCTACCGCGTTGCTGCCGAGGTTGCCGGCGTTGCGTGGCAGTAACGAGGAGGAGTGGGATTGCTTTTCGGGCTTGAGGGAGTGGGTTAATTCGTTGCTAGCTCTTTTTTTCTTTTGCTTACAAGGAGGGAGTTTTGAGAAATATGTCAGTGCTGCCCAGAGTGAATCATAAAAGTTTGCTCATCCACTTGAACTTCAGTTACTTAGAGAGAGCTTGGAGTTTTCCTGTTTGGTATCTGGTGGTGGTGGAATTGAAACTTTTATACAAATCCTCCAGGAAGTTTCACTGCTTCATTGTATCGGGCTGCAGAGATTTAGAAACGGCGTTCTGCCTTGAAGAGACTCTGCAGCTGTAGTTTGCCTAGTCAAGGGCACGGTCTCTACCCATCATAATAAATGTATGAAACATTATTTTCTCCTTATATTCAGATGACCACACACCGAGTGTTTAATTTATGTACTTTTTAATCCCCCAAATGTTAATTTTGCTGCCTTTTGAAGTACTTTTTGGTTCTCTTACCTTAAAATTTTCTTCTTTCCCCAGTGATTATATCCCCATACCTGTATGAAAGCTATCCAGTCCCTATCATACCACAGCCAGAGATCCTGAGCTCAGTAGCTTACAATCCAATTACTGTGTGGACTACAACTGGGCTGCTACCATCTCCATTACCCAATGACCTCTCTCCGCTTTCTGGATACCCCTCATCTTTGGGAAGAGTCAGCCCACCTCCACCTTCTGACACCTCCTCCAAAGATCACAGTGGTTCAGAAAGTCCCATTAGCGATGAAGAAGAGAGAATCCAGTCCAAGCTTTCAGACCCCCATGCAATCGAAGCCGAAAAGTTTCAGTGCAGTTTATGCAACAAGACCTATTCAACTTTCTCTGGGTTGGCCAAACATAAGCAGCTGCACTGTGATGCCCAGTCTAGGAAATCATTCAGCTGCAAGTACTGTGACAAGGAGTACGTCAGCCTGGGAGCGCTTAAGATGCACATCAGGACCCACACACTACCTTGTGTCTGCAAGATCTGCGGCAAGGCTTTCTCTAGACCCTGGCTGCTCCAAGGACACATTAGAACTCACACTGGTAAGAACAGCCCTTGCACTTGCAGTTTCTTGTTGCTATAACACCAGGATATCTTTTTGCTGTTTTTCTCTACAGGTGGAAAAAAAAAAAAAAAAGAGCAGTGTTTCCTTACTAACCCTGAAATGCAGCTGCAGAATTTCAAGTGCATCATTAAAAGACTAAATTCTCCCTCTCGGAGGGGTGGGTGGGAGAGTTGTGTTGCATGCTCTCATAACTGTGGGCCAGATACTGGCATAAATCAGCGTTGCTGCCTTGATGATTTTAGGCTGGTTTAGCCCATTTCCACTAGCTGAAGGTTTTGCTTTAGGGATTTTATGCTAACTTTCAAGCTTTGGAAACTGCTAACTTTGGGAAGGCTCTAGCTGACTCTGAAATCAAGCAGCAAAAACAGAAAGACAGTCATGAGGGACTGCTTTCTGACTCCTTAAGCAGCTGGCAAGTTTTGCATGTACTATCTCAAGTCCTTAAGAATTGGAAACACATCACCACCAAAGCAGGGTTTGTTTTTTTATTTTTTTTATTTATTTTTTTTTTTCTGTTGAGGCAAAAACTTGATTTTGAGTATAACACGGGATACAATGTAATGTCTGTACAGCTGTTTGTTGCTTTTCAGTGAAAGCCCGGTAATTCACAGAGCACTAAGCAGAAAATGGTCTATGAAAATATTCGAAAATGTTGGGAGGAGCCCAACCTAAAAGTACTGCCTGCACCTGCAAATGCAGAAGGTGTCAGCAGCTTGTCCTCAGAGACTGCATTTAGCAGCATATTCTGAAAAGACTGAGTTCTGCAAGTACAGACAGCAGTGCTGAAGCTGTTGTATCTGTGTCCTGATTAACCTTTTCTTACACATTCTTTATTATAACAAATCCTTTCTGTTTGTTCGTTTGTTTCTTAGGATAAAAGCAGGTTTTACCTGTCCTAAACACGTACTTATTCTTTAAAGCTTCATCCTATTTTCCCTTGATGTTTCATTTTTTTAGGAGAGAAGCCGTTTTCCTGTCCTCACTGCAACAGGGCTTTTGCAGACAGATCCAATCTGAGGGCTCATCTGCAGACCCACTCGGATGTGAAGAAATACCAGTGCAAAAATTGCTCCAAAACTTTCTCCAGAATGTCTCTTCTGCACAAACATGAGGAATCTGGCTGTTGTGTAGCACACTGAGTCATGCAGTCAATGTTTACCTGGACTCGACGCATTTCTCCACTCCTGTTCTAAATGATAAGTGGAAATCCAAAGCTGTTTTCTCATCTACTTTTCAGCCAAAAACCAAAACAAAACAAAATGCCACCAAACAAGCAAACAAACAAAATAGTGGAAGAACTTAGAAAGTCAGTAGAAATGAGCTTTAAGTAGTTTCTGTTCAGTTACACATTCACATTCTTAAGTGTGAATTCTGAAATATGGGGAAAGACACCATGCATGACATTTCAAGTAGATCTAAAGGAAGAAGCATGATCAGCTTTCTCTGTACATGAAGCCAAATGTAGGTTGTCTTTTCTTGCTTGGAAAAGGCTGCAAAGTTAACAATACATTCCTGCCAAGCCATTTCAACCAAAGAAACAGTATTTTAAGTGGAACTTTTAATAAAAATACTACCCAAGTGAATTTTGCTAGACACCATTTATCTCAGGTGCCTTAAAAAGTATTCCAAGTTTACCTTAGTAAATGTTTAATATTATTCATTGCTGTGTTTTTTATTTTTATTAGAAGACAAGGCCTTCATTAATGATCTGAAATGCTTTAAAACTGCCTAATTGGGAGGAAAAAAAAATATGTAAGAGAATGTACACAATACTGAAAGCCACAAATTAACCGCATGTGCCTTTAAAAAAAAAAAAAAAAAAAAAGAGAAAAAAAAAAAAAAAGACTGTAGCTTCAAACATTCCTGGTGCATGCTTGACCATCTTTTAATATGGAATAGTTCCTCTAAACTTTAATCTTTTAAAAAAAAACGGGAATAAGTGCAAGAGAGGGGGTTCATGGGACTTCGACAATTATTTTTTTTAAATGCACAAAGGAAATGCAATATTTTCAGCATTACCCCTCCAAGTGCCTTTTTTATTGATGATTTTGTAAAGTATGTGGACATAATGTAAATATCTTTATTTTTATATGATTGAATGTGTTATGAATGGAAGTGAATTGTTGCCTATAGCAGCATCTATAGATAACTTGAAGAAAGCGTGAAGTGAAATTTATGTTGTTTTCTAGCCACTTTTTTACAATAAACATTTTTAAGTAAGATTTGTGTTGTTTGTTCTAATTAAAGAAAACAACCGTGTCTGGTTTATTAAGGCTTTGGAACATAGAAAAATGCAAGTGTGTCTGCATAACCAAATGAAGGTAAAGTGAATTTCAGACATGAATCCTTAGTTCACAAGTACTGAACATTAGAAAAGAATATACCCATCTGATTTTAAAACATTTAAAACCGTATGGACCATTTTTCTAGAGTCACTTATTTAAAACACTGTTGCTTTTTTACTACTTACAGCAGAATGAAAAACATTGTGAAATATATTTTCTCAAAAACGTTTAAAAGAAACTTATTTCTTGCATTTTAACAGTTGAGAGGATGCTGTTAGAGGAGCCTTATTATAGTACTTTTCCTGAGACTGACATTAGGAAATCTGGGCCTGATCCAAAGTTCATTAAAGTCAGTAGAGCCTGACAGGAGTTCAGTAATGTTTGCATGATGCTCTTTTAAAGTAGTAGTGAAGTCGCAACACAGTGTGTTTTATATGGCCATTTCAGAAAGACTGAAGATATTTTTATTAAGTATCTTAGATATCAGAACTGTCAAGTGAATGTATTATGACTGTATATCAGGTAATATATCACACAAAAGAGTTACTCAGTACTAAAAAGTATAAATATTTTTCTTCAGATGATTTGACTGAGGACTCTAAGATCTGAACAAGCATTACAACATCAACAAAACATGTCTCATCATTACTGACTAGTGCAAAACAACATTATTTTCAACTTTAACAAAGTACAAAGCTAAAAAACAGATAAACTTGGCCTCCAGTCTAAAGACTACTATGTCTCCATGAGGGTACCAGCAGGAGTGATAGCAAAAAAAAATTCCAACAATTTAACAAGATTGTTACTGATGGATTAACAAATTTCTCTAAAAACAGTACATTTCAGCAAAAAATGCGAAAGACCATACATGCCTTGTATCTTCTCCAACTGAGTCCTGCAGAGGAATACTTCAGCAGGACTGCACGGCAGTAACTTTGGCAAAAGGCATATGATGGAAGTTTTGTACCTTTTTTCCACAGGAAGCATTCTAATGAAAAAAAGATCGGCTCAAATGCAGCTTTTCATATTCTCCAGGCATCTTCTGACAAAATCTTGAGGTTATAGCAATGATTCCTTAGGCTATGTTAGATTTTTTTTTCAGGAAATAGCTAGAGAGCTCAAGAAAGATAGAGTTAGTGGGAATTTGTGAGGTTACATTTTGAAATGAACACATGAAGGCATCAAATACACTTGAAAAGTTTCATGTGCTTATTCTATTGATTTACACTTCCATGTCATTCTCTTTGAAGTTCTTAGGCTCCAGCAGCTCTTTGTGCATCTTTCTCTTCCCAGAGCAAAGTTTACCAGAGTATGAGGAAAGCTCTGGCAGTCAACAGCTATTTGTACTGTCAAAGTTCTAGGTTTGCTCTCCTGTGTCATGTCACAAAGGCTTTTCCATTGTTTTAATTCGCACTTTAAATTCTCTACGCCCATCGTAAATGAGGTATCATGAGAGCTTGACTTCTTGAATGAGTGGAAATGCTACTGTTGTCCTTAAGGGAAATCAGATGAAAACTTCATCAAAATACAGTATGCTAAACCAAACACAAGTGGAACTGGTCTGATTTGGAGATGACAATTAAGATATGCTACTTTGCATGCCTGTAACACCTGTATTCATAAAACACAAAGATGGGAAAGGCTAGAAGCTCTTCTGGCTCGTCTCTTTAATTGAAACAGAGTGCTCTATCACAGATCCCTAGCTCTCTGTCCGGTTGCAGCATAAACTTCCCAAGCAGCTGAATATCTCTGCTTTTCATGTGCGACTGCTTTCTATTTGCTGCCAGGACATTTCTCCAAAACCTTTTCCATTAATAATTTTAGCTCATTACCCTAGAAATACCCTTCTGTATCTGCACAAGTTATTTATCAATGTAAATTAAATTCTGTTCTGAGCTGTTGGTAGATGACTCTTGCAACCTTTTCAGAACATGAGGGAAAAGCTCCCTTCATGGTGAACATGCTCACTGAATCTCTTAGACCATTGCTACATTCCTCACAAAACGTCTCTCATTCTATATCAAAATAATCAACTTTAAAAATCTTTCTTAAGAAAACATGCTCTGCACACTCTGAATGTCTTCATTGATCTTTTCTGAAATCAATCACTCTTTTACTTTTAATTTTTGACACCAGTGCTAACTATAATTCTTTTAAGTGAAAAGTTAAGCTATCAAAAGACCAGCCTCTGTCTAAAGGCACCTGCATGATAGCAACCTATATACAACATGATCCATAGTTTTTTTTAACTCTTCACTAACAAGTTGCTTAAAATCAATAGATCTGAGGAAGGGACTTTTGTCCAGAGGTTACTCCAAATGCTCTAAATGCATACCTTTTTGATTATAAAATTGCCCATTATAGGCATGCCCATGAGGACCAGATCCTTTCTTTAGTACGTTCTGGCAATTTACTTTCACCTCCTGCGTGTACTTTCAGTGTGTGGAGAAGAGCCTAACCACCACATGACATGTGCACTTACAAGTCGAGTGTATGAGTTTCTCAAGGCTGAAGGCAATATTTGATTCACTTTGGTTTCCTCTTTTTTCTTCCCTTCCTTCCGTTTGGGTGTGATTTTCACATCAGAGGCTGCAGAATGAAGTAATATGTGCATGAAATGTAGACAGAACAAAGTACACATTTATGCTCAAACACTGCAATTATCCTACCAACTAACGTGGAGTTCAGAAAAGCATCTTATTCTTTCACCAAACAGTTAAAATAAGTTCCTCTCAGATTAAGGCACCATGAAATCTGTCTTCTGTATTCTACTCTATTACTTGGGTTATTATAGTTCCTGTTATCATTAAGCAAGCTCAGGGCCTATTACTCTAAGATCCATAATATCATATAAAAAAAGAAGCACCCTAAAGATCCCATAATTTGAATTAAAAAAGGTAGGACAAAGGGAAACCCAGTAATTTAATTCTAATGTCTTGTGCTACAGCTGATTTCCCCTGCAACAAAAGCAAATCAATATTTCATCTTAAAAGATATTTTTATCTTTGAATAAAAACTTTTCGGTGATGGACATTATTTCTTTAGAAAGATTGGTGTTTAATAGTTGACCCAGACATTTGTTTTTATCTCTTTAAAGTGGATGTCTTAACAGTTAAGATATATAAATTACAATTCTGTTTCACAGAAATATAGAGTGGAATGTGAGAAGCACACTCCAACCTGTGTACAATGTAATATCAAATGAAAGCTGCAAGAAGTAAGAACAGACTGAGTGTAAGAGAAATCCCAGAGTCTCAGAATGGTTGACGTGGGAAGAGACTTCTGGAGGTTGCCTAGTCCAATCCCTCTGCTCACTGCAGGATCAGTGGAGTATTTTACCCAAGACTGTGTCCAGTTGGATTTTGATCTCCAAGAATGGAGACTCTACAACCTCTCTGAGCAATCTGTTCTGATGTTCAATCGCCCTTGCAATAAAAAAAAAAATAAAAATAAAAAATGTTTATTCTTAAATTTAGATGAAATTTCCTGTATTTCAGATGGTGCATACTGCCTCTTTTCCTGTCACTGGGCAAAACTAAAAGTTTGCCTAAGTCTTCTTTACTGCCTCTCATCAGGTATTTGATAAGTTCTCCCTTGAATGTTTTCTTCTCAATCTGTTTCAGTCCCTCCCATATGAGAGATGATCCAATCTTGGCCCTTCATTGGACTCACTGCAGTATTGTTGTGTCCTCCATGTACTGGTGAGGCCAAAACTGGACCCAGCACTGAAGATGGGTTTTGACACTGCCGAGTAGAGGTGGAAATACTACTAATTTTTTGGTGGGATGCTGATAGAATGCCTAGAGCTTGTGGCAACTATATGAACTATAACAGCAGAGTACAAACAAAAATTCTGTTTGCATGGTCTAATCCTTCTTCCCTGAACTTTTAATTCATTCCAAGTCTTTACAAAATCATCAGGAATGCTGAAGGGTGTGGAGGACAGGACTCCGGGAGAGTGAGAGTTGCCTTGTTCTGTTGCAGAGGTCAGTATTTGGGTGTCTCAGATGAGTACGTACCATGGGTTGCTTAGAGGTGTGCACATCTTGCTGCAGAGTCGTAACATTTTTGAGACACTGTATGAAACACAGTTTAGCAAAGTCTGAGGCCATGATGCAGCTCTAGTGTGGCCTTGTACTGCTGTCCCTTCTGAGGGACATGTAGCCATACTAGGCTAGAGATCTAAAAATAAATAAAATAAAAATACACAGTGGTCTTAGTTTTATTTGTTTGGCACATTGGTCACCTTGTTCCTTTCCATTTACCTCTTCAATAGTTCAGGAATTCAAACCAATATTTTTTGGAGTTTTTTCTTCTTCTAGTTCACTCAACATTTGGGTACAAAAACATAAGTAAGTGCTCCTTCATGGCCTTCCTTCTTTTATTTTCCCCAGGTCTCTATAAGATAAAAGTTACTACAAAATAGAACAGTTGTTTTCTGTTATCTCTCTCCTCTGTTCCTTTTACCTGGTGTCCTGGTTCTGGCTGGCATAGAGTTAATTTTATTTTAGTAGCTGATACAGTGTGTTTTGGATTTATTGTGGGAATAATGCTGATAACACACTGATGTTTTAGTTGTTGCTAAGTAGCTCTTATCCTAAGTTAAGAATTTTTCAGTTTCCCATGCTCTGCCAGCGAGCAGGTGCACAACAAGCTGGGAGGGAGCCTGGCCAGGAGAGCTGACCCCAACTAGCCAAAGGGATATTCCATACCATAGGACATCATGCTCAGTATAGAAACTGGGGGGAGTTAGCTGCTTGGGGAGATTTCTGCTCAGGTGTCAGTGATAAACAATTGTGTTGTGCATCACTTGGGGTTTTTGAGAAGGGAAGGGGTTGGTTTGGTTTTGTTTTTCCTTTGGTTTTATTTATCTCTCTTTTTATTATATCCATTTTCATTATTATTATTATTATTATTATTATTATTATTATTATT